AATCTAAACAGATCGAATTGTTGCGAGCAAGGCTTAAAACGAACGATCGTTTCTCGAGTCTGATCACGCGCCCTGTTCCGCTTCCTCTGGATCCCACCTTCGTCGTTGGAGGCATAGTTGCGGACTCCGCAACCCTCTTCAAGGTATGCCCTGCCTAGTATTGCGAATAACAGCGAACATGCGAGTCCCAGGCAGTAATTGAGAAGATGATTCGATCGCTGGGGACAATATTTTTATTCGCCTGACGTTTCGAGATCCGTCGCGGACTCGTCATCAAAGACATAATTAGAGAGCCGTAGCCGATCGGCACTCAAGCCATACAGTTATCGATTTTTTCTACACGTTTAAATTTTAACTGTTTTACACTGCAGACTCCTGTGCATACGCTACTTGTATCTGCTACGGCTCTCTAATTATGTCTCTGATGACGAGTCCGCGACAAATCTCGAAACGTCAGGCGAATAAAAATATTGTCCTAGCGATCGAATCATCATCTTCTTCCCTGCCTAGTGTTTCCTTGAGGTCCAAAGCTGTGTTTTTACTGCCTTGACTGTAATTGTGACAGGCAGTTTTGACCAGTCTCCAGTTATTTTTTGCCAAAATAACCATCTTAGTCAATAGGGGACCCTTTTTGGTTATCCCACGGTTGCGTTGAAATGACCATGTGTTGCCATAGCGTACATCTGTCGTCGTTTCATACCATAGTTTGTACATGCAAGTCCTGCTTCCGAAGTATCGGAAAAGGTGACACGTTTCGCCTAATGTCCCTCGTTAAACGCATATTCAGCCCTTATTCGGCTTCCCATCCTTTGAAAAAATAGTCTGCCTGGGTTTCTCAGTAAACTTGTCCCTTTATTTAAAGAGCACAATGCAGCCCGCGCTCCTGAGTCTTGTCTCACCTGACGGTGAGGTCTACAGGATGATTTTCAAGATAGGTGATGATCTACGCCAGGACCAACTTGTACTTCAGATGATCCAGTTGATGGACGTGGTACGTTTTCAGAGTTCTGACTGTCACGTTTTCGAAGGTATTATTAACCATGCGCTTGTCCATTAATTGTAAGTTATCCCTTGTGTTTGCACTTCTCAACGGTCGCTTTCTTTCTTCGCTTTAGGTATTGCAAAAAGAAAAGTTTAATTTACAACTGACCCCTTACAAGGTGTTGGCAGCCAGCTGTCGTCATGGTCAGTCAGCTCTCTGCCAACCTCCTTAATTGTTCATTTTGGGCTTCTATTCGCACTTACGTTTTCCTGACATTTTTTTGTTTCCCTGGCAGGTTTGATAGAATTTGTGGAGGCGATTTCGTTGGCCAGTACGAGACAGGAGGGCTCCATACTAAATTACCTCCAAAACTGTGCACCGAGTCCCACGGATACTCTTGGCGTGCAGCCGAAAGTGCTCGACACCTATATCCGCTCCTGCGGTAAGTGCAGTTTTGCCTCTACGACTATAATGTTAGTACTGTCTAAGCCCTGTTAATGAAACGAAACAGAATTTGTGTGGGCGGATAGTTGGCCGAATGTTGGCTGCCCTTGCCTACAACCATTTCTCCTTGTTCCAGTTGTTGCTTTACTTGGGTCGGGAACCAACTATACATATATTTCTAGTGTATATAGACTAGCCACATACGAGGGACTCAATGCAATCGTGCTCATAATGGCAAGTTCGAGCCAGCCGATTTGATGAACGAATTTACGCTGCATATGTCCAATGAGCCACCCAACTTTCGATGCCTAAGAATTAAGTTCTTGCAGACTAACAAACTTGTCTTGTGACCTTGTTCTCTTTTGTTCTATACCTAATTAGTTACAACTGTTATTCATATCCATTACTCTGTGTATATAATTCTAAGTGATGGTCTGATCTTGTAGGCATTAAGGCTAGTCTTGTAGATATATTCACTTACGGAAATGTGTCAACACTTTAGAATAAATCTTCCGATACACTACATCCTCCTTTGTGTGATTAAAAGCCTTCTTCAGTTTTATGAGCATAAGAGTTTCACGCTTTATGTTTTAACTCCTAGAACTTTAAAACATGTCTCAGTCCATACATTTCCCAAATTGACCTTCTTTTGTGAGTTAAAACTCAGACAACCATACTGCTATTATTCATTCAATAGCCGGCTACTGCGTTATAACCTATCTGCTGGGTGTGGGCGACCGCCACATGGAAAACATTATGTTAACTTCTGAAGGCCAGCTCTTTCATATTGACTTCGGTTTCATCCTGGGCAACGATCCGAAACCGATGGCCCCAGAGGTTCGCCTGACGAAAGCCATGATCGAGGCTATGGGCGGCCACCAAACGAAATTATTTAACGAGTTTTGGAAGATTTGCCTAACGGCTTTTCTAAGCCTCCGACGGTAAGTCTTCGCCTCATCATTAATCGTCTCCCACCGATTTTCAGTCTTTGATTGTCTTTAGGTAACAAAATCTTGGTCTTAGACGCCTAAGAGGGTAATATTCCCATTTCGGATTTATACCTAGTCAAAATTTGTATTTCTCTACTTCTGTATTGACAGGCCAGCCAGTTCAATCAAGTACTACCAACCTTCACCGTTGGGTATTTAGACAGGAATATGTTAGTTTCGTACACGTCATCCACGCCTTGATCACACTGACCTGGTTAAGGATCATAAGGTGGTAAAACCTGATAAATAGGGCTGTAAGTAATACGATGTCAAGTCCATGTTAAACGCTTACTTGCGGAGATTTTCACTTGATTGATGTCTAAACGTTTTCTCTGCTTTAGACACGCAAACCTGTTTCTCACATTTTTCTCCCTGGTGCACGATACGGGAATTCACGACATAGCCCGAGATCCAGGCAAAGCTTGTGAATTCCTCAAAGAACGTTTTTGTATCGACCAGACAGATGAAAAGGCTGCATTTCGTTTTGCAAGTCGGCTGACCGATTCAGTCAAGGCTTTTGTGCCGGAGATGATGGAGAGAATTCACTCAGTGGTTCAGGTTTGTTTACTGAGGACTTTTCAGTCACTGTCCGTCTACCAATGTATCCTAATTGATGCCTTATGTTTTATGAGCGTCTGACCCAAGAGCTAAGTGCTGGCACCACTTTCACCGTTATGGACGTGTGCTCTCTAGCCCTATCGGCGAGTGCCCCTCCATTAGTCAGGTGTCAACCCTAGTGAAATAAACTGTCCTAGTCTTTCAATTGAATCGATATTGGGTGGAGGGGGCAGGCCTCAACAGCAGTCTCATGCTAGTTGTCAGTACCTTGTCTGGCGGTCTCATTCTTCCACCGTACCGAAATGGTGTTGGACAATACCGAACACAATAAAAGTGGAGGAGCTAAATATAAAGTATGAAGCCGAGATAAATTATTAGCGTATGCTAGGCAATCAGTGAGGCAG